TCTTTAATCTGCAAAATCTGTCTACAAACTCCTAATTATCAGATAACATAACTCAAGAAACAAAACAGTGAAAACACTTAACCACACAGAAAATATCTATAAGGAAACCTGCCTCGAAAAATTTTTGACAGTGTTGCAATTTTTATATAGCATGACGCGAGGCATGATGCTAACACTCTCAGACTCCACAGCGCAATTGTTCGCACGCAAACAAAGTACTCATTTTCAAAAGGTTGATATTTATTTGTTTCGTACTTTTTCGTTATCTACAAGGTATGAATACACAGACTATGTAGCGCTAAGTCAGATGGCTTCATGAAATACTAAAACTGTCGGTACCAGTGTGGGTAGTACCATTTGTACCAATGTGAATATTGTCACATGATAATGCTTATCATGTAATTTTGCATATATTAAATATTATTGTAAGCTCTAACACCATTGACATGCACAGTGAAACCAAGATGGTATAAAGCTCACGGGTGAGCACAATTTGAGACCGATATTGAGGAAACGTTAGGAAAACAGTTCAAACGCACGTAGAAAAGGGTCGAAAACGGCAACGAAATAAATAGATCACAAACTCAAATGTAATCGTATAATAACCAAACTTGTAATATAAACGTGAAACGTGGTTCGACTAAATAGAAATGAATATAAACCTAATTTAATACTAAATACTTAACCTAGCACTAACGCAACTAAACAATAAACTACAATATACAAATGAATTGTCACTTAGATGTTTCCCCAGTAGCTCTTTAACTTTCAACGTAAATTATCTCTCTCTCTCTCTGGCTGTCCTCTCTTTACGAGTGTCTCAAACTATACTGCCGAGTTCTGGGGCTAAGCGTGCTTTTTCCATGCAAAAACGTAATTAACTACATCAACTTAAAAACATAAGTTTCCTGTGATAAGGATAGTCGACCGTAAATTTCCTGTGATAAGCACAGTTGTCATTACTAATAAAACACAAATTGACAGTTCCAATCCTACAATTATTATACTATACTTATTCATATTAAATAGCTTACATGCATGAGTAAGCAAATAGTTTAAAGATTAAGATGTCCCACAATTAATGTAGCGGACATGACTCGGTTTGGCGTTGGCCGATTTGTGGTCACTGAGACTTGCTTCAACGAACTGTATTGCATAGGGGAAATGAGTCATAGTTTTGTAGTTTCTTCCCCTAGCAGAGCATATAAAGCCTGAGCACAGCTAGACAATTCATGCATTATTCATAAGGAGAAAGCCTGAATAACATCACAGTGAAGATATAGAAACTATAAGTTAAAGAAAGATTTAAAAGGATTATACAAAGGCGAAGATATATTAAAGATAAAGAATTGTCAGGAATTGAAGAGTTGAGCTCAGTCGTGAAAAGATATAAGTTTGAACAGTATTAAGAATTATATTATATATATTAAGGAAAGTTATAGAGACGTTAATTATTGAGTAATATATAAGACTACAAGTAAGAAAATAAATATATGATTGAAAGTCATTGGTTTCACAATCTTTGTTTCGAGCAAATAGAACCAAAAGCGCGGCCAAATAAATTAGTAAGGACCGGCTCGTAACAATATGCTGTGGTTATATTACTACCTGAAATGAACAAGCAGAAAACTTGACGAAGGGCCTTCGCTCGAAACGCTGAGTTCTGCTTGTTCATTTCAGGTAGTAATATAACCACTCAGCACAGCAGGCTTCATGAAAGCATGACGTTTGTAAGTTGCGATCGTATTACAGCTTTCGATGCTGTTCCTGTGGGTTGCTGCAGTTTGAGTCTATGAAGTACGCTATGATGAATTCATTAACAGCAATTGGCAGTTTGCAGTAACTAACAATCGTTTGATATTTGTTTCGCCATTAACCATTTCACATTGTTTTCTTGTCATTTTGCCAGAGCTGGGAAAACATAACTCCTGCTCCGGCATACAAAATTCTGCTCCGGCGTTGGAAAAACTGCCGGAGCACTGGCAGAACTCTGGTGCACAGCACTAAAACATGAGAATACACTGTATCTAAGAATTCACCAGTAGGTTCATGACAGTGATTGTTCAAGAGATTTAAATTGAAGTCACCCATCAAATAGCATGTTTTGTTTTCTTTAGAAATTTTTCCCAAAAGTGTATTAAGATCAGTTATAAAATCACCAACAATTTGATTAGGTGGCTTATAAACAATACCCACGATAATATTTTTCCTTTTGCTATTAACTATTTCTGTAAACAAAGACTTAACACATGACTTCTCAGGAAAACCTAGATCATTACAAAATTTGTATTGTAAATCAGATGACAAGTACAATCCAACACCGCCTCCAGGTCTATCAGAATGGTAGTTGTGCACAAAATTATATCCATTCATGTCAACAGAGTGCAATGAATCTCTAAGCCATATTTCAGAAACATCAATGACAGAAAATTTGTTGTTAATCGAATGGAGCAGAGTTGTTAGATTCTCAAAATTGTGACCAATACTTCGTATACTAAAATTTTCACAATGATAAAAATTATCTTGCAACATATCATTAAAAGTATTCTCGGTATAAAAATTACAGTTAAATACATCTGAAAAGAAATTTGAATCGGTATCTAAGTTGTTCGATACGGATAAACCTTTATAATTATCTAAAGATAACAGATTTAGTTTTAAACAGGAAAGTCTAGGTCTTCACCGGACTTCTCCAGGTCTTCACCGGACCATGTGACATTTCGTACATGGCCAATTGAAAACTTTCGTCATCTAAATGACTGAAAGGGAGTAGTAATGATAGTATGAAAACAGAAAAAAAAGGGGGTGTGTGAACCAATTTGATTTAACTGGAGCTTTGAATGGAAAGTGAAAGTATCGCGGGCGTCAATGGTCGTAGCCGCTGACTGTACGGACGGGGGGGATAATTTAAAGGGGGCGTTCCCGATTTTGGACTGACGCTTACCGTGCGGTGTGATTGACAGTTGTGTCGCGTGGTTGCGCGCATGCGTGGCGGAGCTCCTGACCCAAAGCCGTGGTCGACCGAAGTGGTGTTCGTTCGAATTTGCCGCCGTTTTTCAAAGTGCGTAAGCCGTGACGTCACGAATTTTCCTTCGTGTTACCACATGCGTCATTTGCGTATTTCAGTGTTTCCCTTCCAAAAATACTGTTTTTCAAACAACTATTAATAAATATTGTATTTTTTTAATCAAAATATCAATATGTAATAGCGTTTTTTAATATTTAAAAAAATGCTAGTAACGTTTTTCAACATAACAACAGCAAATAATCAATGTTTTATACAAAATCAATTTTTATTAATAATATTTACAGAAAAAAAGTTATTAAAAGTATATAATGTTGTGATAAAAAAAATGTTATGAACTAGAGTCACTATTTTGTTTTTTAGATAATGTGTGTAATACATATTCGGCAGCGTTAATTTTTTCCAAAAGTTCGCGTTTTTCCTGTATAATTTTCAACGCTTCCGTACGTACGTCGGCAAACAGCTCGTATGTTTGATATTCGCGAGTTGTATTCACTACGATATCTTCGGATAGTTTTGTTAAAATCTTCCTAGACTTTTTGCACTTGCCTCGCGTATCGGGTAGCGTAAGTTGCCGACGTGTCAATTGTAAAGCGACCATATCGTTAAATTCATCATCCATTCTTATAAGCTGTTGGTCGTTTGTGGGTCGTCCACATTCACGTTTTCGCTTTCGTGCCGGCGTTTTCTTCTCTTTTTCCTCCGTTTCGGTTTCTTCTTCGAATTTTTTTCTTGCTGCCGAAATATCTTTACCACGATTTACTTTCACCGGGGTGTTGTATACTTGGGGTATCTGTGTTTCTTCGTTGCCAGACATGAAACCGTCAAGATATGTTGTAAGGGTGGGAAATATTGGTTCGGTTATTTCCGGTTCGGTTTTAGTTGATTTTTCGTGAATGATAATGGTTTCGCTTGACTGTTCAGGGGTTCGCGGCGTCTCGAGTGTGAATGCATTAAACCGACCTTCGACAATGTTAACATGTTTTTTTAACTTTGCGAGTTTAACGGGTAGTGGAGGGAAGTCTGCGGTTAAAACTTTACTTGGGCTGAATACCGATGTAGGTGACGGTATTGAAATCTGTTGTGGTGATGTTTGATATTGGTAGGGATTTATTTGTTGTGGAGGAGTTTGAGATTGTGGCGTCGTTGTATTTACTTGCTGCGGCGGAGTTTGATATTGGGGTGTTGTGTTTACTTGCTGCGGCGAAGTTTGATTTGTCGTTTTGATTTTACCTTTTAGTTGCCATTTGATGAAATTTAACTCGTAAATGTTATTTGGATATTCTGCGGCGTATGCTGTGAAACTCCAGTAGTCGGCAAGTAGCGGTGTTAGATTCGTGTCCTCGGTAATGGTTATTCCTGACAGTTCGAGAAATTTGTAGAAATTCGCATCCATTTTTTTTAGCAGATGTAGGATTTATACTGTTTCGTGTACGAGTAGTTGTAGTGAAATGTGTTAAAATTATATTCGCAAGGTTTCAAGTGTAAACGACGTGTCTAAATATGGTCAGGGTGTTTTTAACCTTGTGACCATATTTGGTTGGTAGAATTTGCCAGAACTAGAATATGTTGATATGTGTTTATGTGTTTATTAGCACCTAGCAACACGTAAATGG